AATTCTAGAATAAAGAAAGAACACTCAGAATGAATATAATTGAGCAAATAAGTGTTCTTGAAAGTAAAATGAATATTGAATGAAAAATAGGCTTGAAATGCTCAAACTTGAGGTTTGATGCTTTCTTTGATTCCCTCTTGATTCTAGTTGCTTGATGTTTCTTGTTGTTGACCAATGGCTTCTAAGCTTGCTTAAATACACCTTGAATCACTTATGAACGTTAGGGATCATTAATGAAGTTTTTGGAGCCATTTAAGTGTGAAAAACAATTAATATTTCTGCTTGGAGCGTGGGGGGAATCGGTCCCCTAATGGGGAATCGGTTCCCTAAGTGTAAAATTCAAATATTTCGACCGTTGAACAGTGGGGGGAATCGGTACCCCCTGGGGGGAATCAGTTCCCTCCGAGCATACTGGAATTCTAGCCAAACCATTCAGGGGGAATCAGTACCCCCTTGGGGGGAATCGGTTCCCTCTGAGCAATCTGGAATTTTGGCTTTGAAATGGTTCGAAATATTTTGTAAAATCGTTTTGAAATTATTTTAAGATTAAAACTTAATTTTACACTTGAGTAAGGATTTAAAATGAACTTTGAAATACTTTGAGTAATATTTTGATATTCGATTTAATATATCGAATATTCTTAGAAAAAATCTTTTTCAAAATTAAAATTCTTTTAATTTAATTTGTTATATTTAAACATCAAAATGTTTTCAACAATCTCCCCTTTTTGATATAACAAAACATTTTAAGATTTTCTAATTTCAAAATGAATTTTGATTTTGAAAATACTACTACCTTACTTTAACAATATTCCTCTTCAAAAACTCCCTTTTTAATTTAATAACAATTTCTCTCCTTTTGTTAATCAAAAATCCGTAAAAGAACTTAAACAAGGTTTTGAAATCATTTGGCCAATTGATTATATATATAGTTTAAGCTGCTAAGATCACAATCAAGAGAAATGTTAGCCATTTTTCATATCAATATTCATAAATAGTGACATGGCAAAATTGGTCATATTGCTAAAATGAGTAAATGATGCAATAAATTTAACTAAACCAAATATTCAAACATCCAAACAAATCCAAAGTTTAACAATCCACAAAAATCAAACATTCCAAATATTCAAATGTTGAAACAATAAGCTTTAAGTTCAAAGTACTAAAGCAAAACAAGAATCAGCATCCGTAGGAGGATCGGGAGGAGGAAACGAGCTCGCATAGCGGCCATTTCATGAGTGAGTTCATTAATACGAGCGTTTGTTGCTTATTGTTTGCACGCATCTCCTGAAGAATTTCCAATTGTTGAGCTCCCATTGTGGATAAATGAGACTCTATAGAAGTAAAGCGCGAATCTATGGTAGCATATCGGAAATCGAATGTCTCCATAAAATTGAAAATAAGGAGGCATTTGATTCGTTGTGTGCTTGCTCCTCGGGCTGCTCCTTGGGATGCTCAGGCTCATCTTCGGCTTCATCGATGTCTCGCATTAATTGTTCAAGCTCGGGATCGTCGTCAGCTTCTGGTGGAGCTCGTGAAGAACTAGCTCCCGGAGTATTTTCAGAAGATCGAACCCATTAACATTTCCTTATCCTTTATCCATCCCGCTCTCGTTAAGGAAAGAAGATTAATTTATTTCTTTAAAGGAAAGACAGCATCTAGACCTACTCCAAGCATGACTTTAGAAATAGATTACTTAGAATGCAACCATAAACTAGAGAGGAACAAAGTTTCTTATTTGGCACTAAGTTTACGGTTTCAACGATTTCAGCAAAAAATCTGAGGTAGGTTTATTTTAATACTGTTTTGAAAACAATGTACCACCAAAGATCTAAAGCAGGAAGAGTAGAGTAACGACCTCCTGATGGTCGAAACCACCAAGAAATCATTAGATGAAGAAACGATCATGAAGGTCTAAGATACTCGCACTATCTCTTCTTTATAACGAGAACCTAAAACCTGATTTCATTTGATACCATCATTATCTAATCCTAATGCTTTGGCTATGTAAGTCGAGTAATATGTAAGAATTTCCTAGGAGGTAGGAACGAACTTCTATGATTTCAGTTTGAGCTCGTTTTTGACACAAACGCATTAGAGTAAAAGATGCGAACAAGTTGATGGTAAACTATAGGTTCAAGGTCACAAGTTTATCAATTTCCACTCTTGTAAAGAGGAAGATATAAAAATATCTAACATAGCTTGACGAGAGGGATACGTTCTTATCTAATTTGTAAGAGTCAAAATATTGATAATACAAAAAACGGTGATTTCTAGGACCAGGATGATTGAAGCACGAGTTTTGGATAGTCATATTAGGATCAATAGGATTAGGATTAGGAATTGGAATTTCAGGAATAGGAGGAGGATTTGGAGGTGGATTGGTTGACGTGTGAGCGATAGATGATGACCTAGCACGTTTCGGATTGGACATGGTTTAGGAAGTCGAATAGAATGGATACCTGCAATTTAGAAAACACATGTATGCAATTCAATCAATCCTAAAACTCATCAAGTCCTCAATATTTCAAGGTTCTCTAAACAATCCTAATGGCAATGTTTTGAAAAACTTATTGAAAATAAGGTTTTGAAAATCAATATGTATAGTTTTTATAACAACGTAATTCAATCAAAACACAAATTTTTTTATTTCGAAATTTCAAAATTTTTGGAAAAATCTTGTGTTTTTGATGAAATTAGTTGTAAAAAATTAGTTTCTAAGCACTAATAAGCAATGCCCGATCACTATTTCTATTTAAAACTAGTCCTATGTTCAAAATTAATGAAATAAAGAGTTTAGAAAAATTTACCTTGAAGATGATTGAGTTTTGATGTTGTTTGCACGATTTTAATGAGCTAGGTTTAAATGATATTTGAAGAGAATTCGATTAAAACGTTGTTTTGAGGCAAAGTGGAGATTTGAGAGAATGGAGGGGAAAAGGGGGAATCGGTTCCCCTTCAAAGGGGGAATCGGTTCCCTCATGGGGGTATCGATTCCCTCTGCACCAAAATGCTAAAATCCGATTTTAAACAAACAAAATGCTAAATTAATTTTCTCTAGTGGTATTGGTAACTCATATTTGAAAATTAATCACGTTCAAACAACCAAATTAATCTTTAAACTATATTTGAACATAAAGTTAATTTTCATAAAGAATCATAAACTCCCCCTAACTAATAGCAATGAATGCAATCAAAAATGACTATTCTAAGCATTTTTCATTTAGTCTTAAAAGTGCTAAAATTATTTTAAACACTAAGTGAAGAAAAGTTGGTCAAACCTAATTCTCTCCTAAGTGTCCAAAATATTTCCTTGTCTAAAGGTTTTGTAAAGATATCCACTAATTGGTGCAAAGTATCAACAAATTCTAGAACTACATCTTCCTTAGTGACATGGTCTCTAATGAAGTGATGTCTTATTTCAATATGCTTAGTTCTAGAGTGTTGGATGGGATTTTTAGTGAGACAAATAACACTAGTATTGTCACACTTGATAAATGGTACCTACTTCAATTCCATAATCAAAAAGTTGTTGTTTCATCCAGAAACTTGTGCACAACAACTACCAGCTAAAATGTATTCGGCTTCAGTGGTAGATAATGCAACACATTTTGTTTCTTTGAAAACCAATAAATCAGCATATTTCCAAGGAATTGACAAGTACCGGAGGTGCTTTTCCTATCTAATTTGCATTCTCCATAATCCGCAATAGAAAAGGCATGCAAGCTAAAGATAGAGTCTCTAGGATACCAAAGTCCTAAACTAGGAGTGTCCTTAAGGTATCTAAAGATTCTCTTAATAGCTAGTAAATGTGATTCCTTAGGACATGATTGAAATCTAGCACATAAGCAAACATTAAACATAATGTCCGGTCTACTTGCAGTTAGATAAAGCAAAGAGCCAATCATTGACCTATATAATTTAACATCTACACATTTACCTCCTTCATCTAAGTCAAGCTTTGTTGAAGAGCTCATTGGAGTGTCGTGAGGTTTTCCATTTTCCAGTCCAAAATTTTTGAGCATATCTTTGACGTACTTAGCTTGATTGATGAAGATGCCATCTTTTCTTTGCTTAATTTGGAGTCCCAAGAAAAATGAGAGCTCCCCCATCATGCTCATCTCAAACTCACTTTGCATTAGCTTAGAAAATTTTTGGCAAAGAGCATCATTAGTAGAACCAAATATTATATCATCAACATAAATTTGAACTACTAATAAATCTTTACCTTTATGCTTTAAAAACAATGTAGTGTCAACCTTCCCTTTTGAAAAACCTTTTTCAATTAAAAAAATTTGACAATCTTTCATACCTATCTCTAGGAGCTTGTTTTAAACCATAAGCGCTTTTGTCAATTTAAGAACATGATCCGAAAATTTTGAATCTTCAAAACCTGGAGGTTGTTCCACACACTTCTTCATTTATAAACCATTTAAAAATGCACTTTTAACATCCATTTGATATAATTTAAATTCATGAAACATGCAAATGCTAATAACATTCTAATTGCTTCCATCCTAGCTACGGGAGCGTATTTTCATCATAGTCTATGCCCTCTTCTTGAGTATACCCTTGAGCAACAAGTCTAGCCTTGTTTCTCACTATATTACCACTCTCATCAAGCTTATTCCTAAATACCATCTAGTACCTACAGTAGATTTATTACTAGGCCTTTCAACTAATGTCCATACTTTACTTCTCTCAAATTGATTTAATTCTTCTTGCATAGCCATAATCCAATGTTCATCTTTTAATGCTTCTTTAATATTCTTAGGCTCTATGCATGAAATAAATGCAATATAATTACAAATATTTCTAAGAGAAGATCGAGTTGTTACCCCTTTGGATGGATCACCTATAATCTCACCATCCTTAACATAGTTGTACTCTCTTGGATAAGATACTTCCCTTTCTTCAATGGTTGGATTCTCAAGAGGATCATGAGTTACCTCATCTTTTGTTTCTTCCTTTGATGATGGTTCTTCAACATCTTGTCTAACTTTATTTGTATTTATAATACCTACATCATTATTCACACAAGAATCCTTCCTCTGAAATGGATTATCATCGAAAACGATATGTATACTCTTCTACAACTAAAGTTCTTTTATTAAATACTCGATAAGCTTTAGAATTTAAGGAATAACCCAGAAAAATTCCTTCATCACTTTTAGCACCAAATTTGCCAAGATTTTCTTTACTGTTGTTTAAAAAAAACATTTACATCCAAAAGGATGAAAATAGCTAATGTTAGGCTTTTTATTTTTGAAAATTTTATATGGAGTTTTCTTTAAAATAGGCCTAATCATTACTCGATTTACAACATATTAGCACCAAATTTGCCAAGATTTTCTTTACTGTTGTTTAAAACAAAACATTTACATCCAAAAGGATGAAAATAGCTAATGTTAGGCTTTTTATTTTTGAAAATTTTATATGGAGTTTTCTTTAAAATAGGCCTAATCATTACTCGATTTACAACATAGCAAGTGGTATTTGTGGCTTCCGCCCAAAATATTTAGGCAAATTATTTTCACAAAGCTGGTTCTAGCCATTTCTTCTAAAGTTCGATTTTTTCCTCAACAACTCTATTTTGTTGAGGGGTTCTAGGTGCTGAATAATTATGGCTAATACCATTAGAATTACAAAACTCATTAATCCAATATTTTCAAATTCAGTGCCATGATCACTTCTAACACTATAGAGTAACCTTTTCGTTTTAGATTAATTTTGAAAATGTGATGAAATTTTCTAATGCTCATCTTATACTTAGAATAGAACCCAAGTATATCTAGAATAGTCATCTACCATGACAAATGCATATTGTTTTTCCACCCAAGCTAGAAGTCCTAGTTGGCCCAAAAAGATCTATATGGATCAATTGTAATACTCTACTAGTTGATACGTCATTAATGGATTTAAAAGAAACTCGATTTTGTTTTCCTTTAGCACAAACATCACAGATTTTATCATTATCAAATTTAGCTTAGGCAACCATCGAACTAAATCACCTTGAATTAGCCGTTGCAAACACTCATACTAGCATGTCCTAGTCTCCTAGCCATAACCAACTATCATGTTCATCTTAGCAACTAGGAATAAATTAGTTCCCTTATCACAAAATTGACTAATACTCAATAGATTAAGCTTTAACCATTTACATATAAAACATTCTTAATTTGTATGGAAGAGGTATTACCAATAGTACCAATACCTTCAATGTGACCTTTTGAATCATTACCAAAAGTCATTTCTCCTCCATTTTTGACGTTAAGCTCAATGAATCGGTTTTTGTCTCCGGTCATGTGTCTTGAGCATCCATTATCAAGGTACCATGAATTTGGATTTGTTTCCGTGCCTTGTAGCAATGCTCATTTTCCTACAACATAGATTAATTTCTAATATTTGGTACCCAAATTCTTTTGGGTCCATATTCATTAGTTTCCAAAATCCTAGTCCCCTTAGGTATCCATTTGTGTAGGATATCCTTATCTTTAGTAGTAATGAGCTCTTTAGGAACTCATATACTTCTAACGATTTTTCTATTAGAGGTTCTTTGGGGACCTCTATGATTGTAGTTTTTAAAACTTTTCTAACAAAGTTTGATTTTGAATTTTCTCCATTTTCAAAACGTTTTGTTCCAACTTTATCAAAAGTGGCTTTAAGATCATCAATTTTCTTTTGATGATCATCATGACCTTTGAAAGTAAATTTAGCAAATCCAAAATTTCTTTTCAAACTCTTCTAGTTTGATTTGCAAATCTTTGATTTTACTTCAAGATCGTTGTTGGTTTTGGATGTGAGTTTATTTTCATTTTTCAATTTGAAACATCATTTTTATATTTAAAAACAATTTCTCATAATCCAAAGCCAGCCATTATATTCCTCTAATAACTCATCATAGGAAAATCATCAAAATCAGATGAGTTAGAGGTTACCTTAGAATCTTCCCCGAATGTCATCAAGCACAAGTTTGCTACTTCTTGTTCCTCTTTATTGGAACCTTCTTCATCGCTCCATGTAGCCACATGAGCCTTGTGCTTATTCTTTGATTGACCATTTCTCTTCAATTGTGGGCAATCATATTTGACATGCCCCGGCTTTTTGCATTCATAGCAAATGATTGAGTCCTTCTCTTTTGGTTCATTTTTTAGGCCTTCATTTCGTTTGAATTTTCTTCTTCCTCGGTAAGGTCTCATCATTTTCTGAACCATTTGGCAAACATGTCATTTCCTCGTCATCGTCATCTTCATCTGAATCACTCTCATCTTTTGTGGATTTGAGAGCAACTCCAATGTTTTTATTATTCTCCTTATCCTTTGGTGTCTCTTCAAGCTTATCAAGGTCCACCTCATCGTCAAGCATCATTTCATGAGTGAGGAGTGAACCGATTAGCTCTTCAAGAGTTAAGGACGTTAGATCATTAGACTCGATGATTGCCGTCTTCTTGATTGCCACGATTTTGGGATGGAGTACTAACTTCCTCACAAGATTTTCATTTGAAATGATCTCTCCATATGATTTGAGACCATTGACAATTGTTGAGAATCTATCCATCATAGCTTTGATATCTTCATTTGGCTTCATCCTGAAATTTTCATAGCTATGCGTTAGAATACTAATTTTAGATTTCTTTACCTCATCGATACCCTCATGAGTGACTTGAAGTTTGTCCCATATTTCTTTGGCGGTTGTACAAGATGAAACTCTTCCGTATTCATCTGGTCCAAGAACACAAAATATGATATGGATGGCTTTGGAGTTGAGCTGGAACATTTTTGTCTCTCCTTCACTCTATAATCTTGGATGAGTGAGAGGCTTGAAGTATCCTTCTTCTACGACATTCCATGCTCACATGTCACTTGCATGAATGAAGTACATCATTCTATTTTTCCAATAGGCACAATTAGCCCCATTGAAGAAAGGAGGCTTGTTGACGGTCATCGAATGAGACTGGAGTCGAAGTTTGAAGTAGAGGCCATTGATGACTTTGATTATCGATGTAGCTCTTCCCGAATCAACTCAAGAGGTGATTAAACCTTCATATGAGTTAGGCTCTGATGCCAATTGTTGAGTTAATCGATTGAGGAATATGGCCAAGAGGAGTGAATTGGCAATTAAAATTTTGGTGGAAGCTTTTGTAGAAAATTGAAAGAAATTTGCACAGCGATTTAGAGTGGTTCGACTTTCTCAACCAAAGTCTACGTCCACTACCTTAGCTATCCACACTAAGGATTTTCCATAAATTCACTAATTTTTCTTTCTTTTGAGGACAAAGAGTAACCTTACAAACCCTCAAGAATTATACCCCATATTCTTGAGAACACTCTCTCCCAAAGAGAACAATACAAATTTGCAAACTTACAAGGAAATCCTCACAAGGTAGATTGTTTGCACAATTCTAGAACAAAGAAAAGAACACTCAAGAATGAATACAATTGAGCACAATAAGTGTTCTTGAAAGCAAAATGAATATTGAATAAAAAATAGGCTTGAAATGCTCAAACTTTAGGTTTGATGCTTTCTCTTTGATTCTCTCTTGATTCTAGTTGCTTAAAGTTTCTTGTTGTTGATCAATGGATTCTAAGCTTGCTTAAATACACCTTGAATCACTTCTGAACGTTGGGGATCATTAATGAAGTTTTTTGAGCCGTTTAAGTGTGAAAACAATTAATATTTCTGCTTGGAGCGTGGGGGGAATCGGTTCCCTAAGTGTAAAATTCAAATATTTTGACCGTGAACAGTGGGGGGAATTGGTACCCTGGGGGGAATCGGTTCCCCCGAGCATACTTGAATTCTCGGAGCCAAACCATTGGGGGAATCGGTTCCCTCTGAGCAATCTGGAATTTTTTGGCTTTGAAATGGTTCGAAATATTTTGTAAAATCGTTTTGAAATTATTTTAAGATTAAAACTTAATTTTACACTTGAGTAAGGATTTAAAATGAACTTTGTAATACTTTGAGTAATATTTTGATATTCGATTTAATATATCGAATATGCTTAGAAAAAATCTTTTTCAAAATTAAAATTCTTTTAATTTAATTTGTTATATCGAAACATCAAAATGTTTTCAACAAAAGGTTCTCAAGTGGGAAATGCCAGGCTTTCTTCCACTCCATGCCTCTTGTGGTGTCTTTCCCATACACTTCTTATTGGAGATCAGTTTGTCAAGTAGACTGCATACACTACTGCTTCCGCCCAAAATTCCTTGGGTAGTTTCTTGCTTTTGAGCATGCTTCGTACCATGTCGAGGATGTTCTGTTCTTTCTTTCTATCACACCATTTTGCTGAGGGATCTAGGAACTATCATTGGTTGATGAATTCCATTTGCTTCACAAAACTCTTGAAACTCCCTGGAAGTAAAATCTCCTACTCAATCGAATTTCATGGCTTTGATCTTTCTATCACTTTCTCTCTCCACTGCTGCTTTGAACATCTTGAAGACTTCGAAAACTTTTGACTTATGTTTCAAGAAATATACCCAGGTTTTTTTTTGAAAAATCATCAATGAAGAGAAGAAAATAGTTACTGTTACCGAGAGAGCTTGTCTTTATTGGTCCACACACATCGTTATGGATGAGCTCAAGTGGCTTCTTGTCTCTTGTCTCTGACTCCTTTGGAAAGCTTTTCCTAAATTGTTTCCCGACTAGACACCCTTCACAAAGCTGGTCAGGATGGTTGATGCAAGGTAGTCCCTTCACCATCTCCTCTTTAGATAGCAGCTCTAGACCTCCAAAATTAAGATGCCCAAATCGAAGATGCCAAAGCCATGGTGCATCTTTGTTGTAAGCTTTCAGGCACTTTACAACATCATTTTATATGTCAATCTAGAACATTCTATTCTTTGACATCGACACTTTAGCAATGAAATTATTCTTATCATCTTTTATAGAAATATTATAATTATTCATATGAATATCATAATCTTTCTCTACCAGTTGCCCTAAACTTAAGATGTTACTTTTCATATTGGGCACAAAGTAGACATTGGAAATAAATTGATGTCTCTCATCTTTTAAACGAATAAGGATGTTACTTCTCCCTTCCACTGCTATTGTGGAATCATCTCCAAACGAAACATTTCCGTTTACTGACTCGTCTAGCTCCACGAACATGTCTTTCCTTCCACACATGTGATTGCTTGCACCACTGTCAAGATACTAGGAATTTGCTTTGCCACCATCAGTTTCCTTTCGTGCTAGAAGAAGAGTTTTTTTGCCATCTGTCTTTTCCTCCACATAGTTGGACTTCTCCTCAATTTTGTTGTTGGGAGATCTACATTCTGAAGCATAATGCCCAAACTTCTGACAATTATAACATCAAACTTGAGATTTTCGGATTGATTCTTCCACGGCCTCGTGTTGAGCTTTCTCCTTTCTCATAGTTGTTATTGGAATTGTTGTTGTAATTCCAGCCTCATCCACGACCTCGACTTCCACCTCGTCCATGGCCTCTACCTCTGCCTTGGCCACGTTGGTTTCTATCATTGCGTTGGCTTTCATGCATATCCTTGAGTTGTAGCTTGAGGAGTTGCTCAGTAAAC